ATAGTGTTCTTCAAGTCCTCTCTTTCCTTACTGAACTCTGACCTAGTTCTATTATTTCATTTTTTAAGCTTAGTGAGATCTTTTAGTAGAGTTTCCACCTGTTATTGTAGGACTCAAATGACCTACTTCATTTCTGGTCATTTTTGAGGAACATACCCTGAGGGTCTGAAGCTAGGTGTGTCTAGGGACAGAGGTGCTCAGCATTCTTGACACAGTGACTTATCATTGTGGTCCTCCACCCTGTCAACTCCACGTAGCCCCTCCTGAGCTTTGTGGCTTTCTTGCCTGTGTTCTCTTTCTGTAAATATTCACAAAGTGACAATGGCACAGCCCGTGACCCTGAGAAGTGCCCACGTGTGCCCCTTCTGCTCACTTCAGGGCTTTGTCGCTCTCCTTGGCCCAGGTGCAGCTGTTGGCGTGTTCTCTGCAGGGCTCTGTCCTCGGCCCCTCGATGCCTCCGTCCTCGGCCCCTCGATGCCTCCATGGGTGCAGACGCAGCGTGGCGCTTCCCCTCTTCTTTCAGACCATAAAGATCCAATCTAGTGTCTTCTGGCCTCCAACATTTCCACCAGGAAGTCCTCTGTCAGTCTTCTTTTAAGCTGCGATGTCTCTTTTTTATCCCCCTCTGGCTTCTCTCAGCTTTTCTCTGTCCTTGGATTTCAAGCTCATTGTGATGAGGTGTGGTTTTCTGTAATGTTCTTTGCACTTACAGGTTAATGTCCTCTATCAGTTTAAAGTACCTGTCTATTTTATTTCCAAAAATTTACTGCCCTAGTCACACATCTTTCTTTTTAGAATTTAAACCATTCCACACCATGTCCCTTATGTTTAGTGCTCTTTCCTCAACTTTATCCCCTCCCTTCTCCATGCAGAGTCTTGATAGTTCCTTGCCTCCTGTTCTTCTCTATCTGTTTGGCTCTGGCTAATATGCTGTTAAACTGGCCTACTCTGCTCTAAATTCACTCATTGTGTTCTTCATTTCTGGAATTTATGTTTGATTCCTGTTTATGGAATCAATGTTGTCTCTGAGATTCTCCATCTTTTCCCCAGTTTTCTTGAGAAAATGAAATCTGTAAGTCCACCTCCAAAAATTCAGACACCTAGGTCTCCTGTACACCTGCTTCTGTTGCTTGCTTTTCTCTTGGCCCTGTGCCAGTTGCTCTTATCTTCTAGTATGCCCCGTAACACTGACTGAATGCAAGCCCTAGTTGATGAGGATATGAAGATCACTGGAGTCTTGCTTGATGTTGCCTGGCTCCAGCGAGAATGAACCGTGGTTTCCGGGGGACAGTTATGCCACAGGAAGATCGCCGAGTTCAGCCTGAGCTGATTCAGAGACGGTGCTGGTCTGCTTTCCTCCCTCCAGGGCCCCGTCCTTCACTTCTGTTCAGGGCTTGCAATCCAAAGCCTGGGTGCTTCACCAGAATCCCCGTCTCCTCAAGCCCTGAGCTCTGACTCCTTGTCTGCCATTCTGAGAAAACGAAGAACTCTGCTCAGCTCCTGGGGCTCTGGGCTGTGTCCTGGGAGTTGGAAAGCGCCTCCGGGAGGCAATCCGCAGGAGGCCACAGGCTGTCCTTGCTCCTTCCTGGAGAAGCCTTTGGTCTCTCTGGTGTCAACTCCCCTGAGCCTCCTGCTGCCTCCTCCAGGGATTCCACTGTTAACCCCTCGCCTGAGTTGCTCGCTCCCAGAAGGCCAGGCTGACACAAGCTAGCTCTGCTCTCGAGGGAGCACAGCTTGGCAGAGCACTCTACACCACACAAGGAAAGCTTGGCCCAAAAGAATCATTTCAGAACCCAAACTTACTCTTCAGTAATTTCTTTACCAAAAAAAGTCCACTCTTTTCGAGCTATTTTTGTCGGGATCTACTGTGTGTCAGGCCCCACTTTAGGCCCCTGGAGGGAGACATCTTATTCTGCAATGACATAGACACTGTGTGCTCTGTGACAAAACTGTGGAACCAAGATCAACACTGACTGAGTGAGGGTGAGGACGCTTCGGGAGACAGCATCCCGACCACCATGGGGCAGGAGGCTCGTGGACTCATCTGTGCCATGCGGTGGGCATAATCCAAGGCAGAGACACGGAGGGGTGCCCGTGGCGGAGCTGGGCTGTAGCAGTACCAGGGGAAGGGCTAGCGGGGAGAAGCTGGACACGGGACCTAGATGCTGGCCCAGTGACACCTCAGCCCTCACCAGTCCAGACCCGGCTGGGCCCTGGCTGGCCCCGTGTGTGTTCCTGGACAGACTCGGGGAAGATCAACAAGCAGGACGCACTGAAAACAAACATCTCCGATGACAGCAGGAGCCGGGTCACCATCAAGGAAGGGCAGGCTGGGACGCAGGGCCAGGGAGGGGAATAAAAGGCCAGAGCCCAGCGCCTCACACATTCACACTCACTCACACTCACTCACACTCACTCACACTCACACACTCACCTCCCCAGCCCAGCCCCGCCATGGCCAACTCCACCATGTCCGTCTGCTCCAGCACTTGCACCCAGCCCTGGCAGGTGGACGACTGCCCAGAGAGCTGCTGCGAGCCCCCCTACTGCGCCTCCAGCTGCTGCCAGCCCAGCTGCTGTGCCCCAGGCCCTGGCCCGAGCCTCATCTGCACCCCAGTGAGCTGCGAGTCCAGCCTGTGCTGCCAGCTGGCTTGCTGCTCCTCGTCCTGCCAGCCGTCCTGCTGTGGGTTTCTCTGCTGCAAGCCCGCCTGCTGCAAGCCCATCTGCTGCAAGCCTGTCTGCTGCACACTTGTGTGCTGCACACCTGCCTCCTCTGGGTCCTCTTCTTCCTGCTCCCAGCCGGCTTGCTGCTCCTGCTCCCCCTGCCAGCCATCCTGCTGCGTGCCTGTCTGCTGCAAGCCTGTCTGCTGCACGCCCTCCTCCTCCGTGTCCCTGCTCTGCCGCCCCGTGTGCAGACCTGCCTGCTGTGTGCCCGCCTCCTCCTGCTGCGCCTCCTCCTGCCAGCCCAGCTGCTGCAAGCCCTCCTCCTCCCTGTCCCTGCTCTGCTGCCCCGCCTGCCCCCGCCCGGCCTGCTGTGGCCCCTCCCTGGGCCAGAAGTCCTGCTGCTGACCTGCTGCTTCTCCTCTGGGTCCTTTCTTCCCCACAGCCCCACCACCCTGTGACCTCAGCCAGCCCCGTGGCCCTTACTCACCCCTCGTCCTAGTTGTGTGTTCCTCATGTCCTTCCCCAATGCTGCCTGTCTGAGGATGTGCCCCTGTCCTGTGCATGCCCTCAGTGTGCCCTGTGGTTCTGGTCCTTCCTGGGATGTTCTGATAAAGCCCTGGGTACTCCAAGTCCTAATGGAGTTAGCCCTGTCACACTGGCTGCTGTCCTGTCTGGACACTGGGGCTGGCATCACATGAGGCCATGTGGCACAGGCTTTGCTGGGCCCCCAGAGCAGCTCTCTTTGGTGCTGTGGACCTGTAGCCCTTCCCAGGGGAGCCACCGCTGAGTCCTTGCCAGGCCCGGGGTGCACCGGGGCTTTCCGAGTTCTCTGCAGCACATGGCACCCTCCTCACCCTTGTGCTCCCAGGACTGAGCCCCGCCAGCTAGCAGGAGGCCTGTGCTCCCTGGTGCTGTGATTCTCCATCCGCACCCTCGCTTGGAAGCAGGGGTGTCAGTGGGGTTTGGAGGCACAATCTGATGCAGCACTTTGGGAGGCTGAAGCAGGAGTATTGCAAGTTTGAGTCCAGCCTGGCCTACTTAGCACCGTGGTGAGACCCTGCCTCACAATAAATAGGAAAGGACAGCTGAAGAAGGCGCTCAGTGAAAAGGTTGTGGGTTTGATTCCCAGCAGCACCGCCAAGGCCTTCACTGTCAGGAAATCACTTTAGGGAAGCAGGAAAGAGGAGCAGAACTCTGAACAGCTGAGAACTCAGGTGCCATGGAGAGGCGGGGGTGTTCCGAGTCCTCTGACCTGAGGGCCGTGGTCCGAGATATGCAGCCCTCTGCAGGGTCAGAACCAGCAGACAGTGCCAAGCCCACACCCCTGTGTGTCCTACCGTCCTGCAGCGACCAGAGTCCACTTCAGTGCCATGCACAGCACAAGGCCAACAGCGATAACCAGCACAAAGTAGGACAGTGACAACAATATGCTCTAATAAAAGGTAAATGCTGAACTGCTTACTTCTGGAACCTTCCATTTAATATTTCAAACTCGGGTCAACAGCAGGTGACTGAACGGTGGAAAGTGAAACCTGAAGATGTGGATGGGCTGGGATACTGTGCTCTCCGGAAGAAGGGATGCCATGAAAGGGAAGGAGGGCAGGAGAGCCAGAGATGGGGGAGCAGGGGGAGGGAGGCAGGCAGCAGCCAGGCTCCCGGAGGCTGAAGCAGGACAGTCCGAGTGAAAATGGGACTCAGTGGATGTTGGGTGCCGGTGGGAGGTGGGGCGGCTGCACGGTGGCCGGAGAAGCCTGAGGTGCAGCTCAGAAGGGCTGAGATGCAGGAGATGAAGCCGCAGGCCCAACTCCGATTTGCCCCGGGGCTCCAGGAGGGAGAAACAATCACTGCGCCTCGGGGTAGCAGTTCCTGAGCCCAGGGCAGACGGAAGCAAGGAGACTGGGGAGCCGAGGAGCACCGCAGTAACTGGGGGCGCCGGGGAAGCTCATCCAAGGCTCCGGAAGGAGTTTCTTCCTCCCTTCCGGTCTTTCGGGGAAGACCCAGACACAAAGCCAAGCATGAAGGACGTGTTCCTTTGCCCCCATGCCAATGGCCATGAGCAGAGGCCGGGCAGCTGTCCCCTCCGAGGTGTGATGCAGAAGGGACCGCAGTGGGCAGCCAGAGGGTCGGGCCGTGAGCAGGCAGGGAAACGCTCATCTCCGTTCTTGCGAGGTGCAGGACTGGACAGCGTCCCGTGGATGCGCAGTGAGGACCCGATGTCCCCCTCCGGGGCAGCCACCTGCAGGGTGGGCCCTGCGACACTGCCCTCACCTTCACGTCCAGACAGCGTTTCGGATACGGTCGCCTCCCTTCCCTGCACACCTTGTCCCTCCTTCACCGCCCCATCGAGCCGTGAGCAGCCCGACGGGTGCAGGGCAGGAACGGTCACACAAACACAACCTGTCCCGGAACAGGGGGAGGCACGGTCGCCCCAGACTCCGTCCCCCACACAGGGGCAACCTCACTGCCCGTGAGCCTCTGAAACTCAGTTGTCTCCAAGGAATGAGAGGAGCCCTCGGTCCTGAAGGCTCAGGACAAGTGTGGCCTCCCCCAAATGCTGGCTACCGAGGAGACGCTCTAAATCCAGAGGGCGGAGATCCCAGGGAGTCCCACAGCGAAACCACCACCAGCCGTGACTGTTTTTCCGGGGACATCTGCCCACCTGGGAATCTAAAGAGCTGCTTCCGCACGGCAAGTTAAACGGCATCACAGACAACTTAGGACGTGGCAAACAGGACAAACCAAATGCAAGACGATGACACGGAAAAGTTCTGCTAACAAATATTCACATCCTCAAATGTGCAGGCTAGAGAGCAAAATCTAATTATTCAACTCAATAAGCTTGGAAATAATTTAAAATTTAATTTAACAGTCAAGGAAGGAATTTTAATAGACTTAAAATATAAATAACAAAAATAATATAACAAAAAGATCCATAGAATTTTTAAAGCTCTGGCAAATCTAATAAAATAAATACACACATTAGAAATGGAAAAATGAACATGCTCATTATTCAGAGATTCTGTTTTTTAAGTAGAAGAAAATGGTATATGTATGTTTATTCTATTTCTTTTTTTTTTTGGTGTCGAGGATTGAACTTGGGACCTTGCACTTGTGAGGCAGGCAGCAGCACCACTCAGCTAAGTCCCCGGCCCCTGTATGTTTATTCTCAAATTTAAAAATGTAAACAAACTGTACTATGTTACAAAAAATGTAAATTATTGAACTGGGTACCTAGCTCGGTGGTAGAGCACTTGCCTAGCAGGTGGGAAGCCCTGGATTCAATCCCCAGCACTGAAAAAAAAAAAATATATATATATATATATATTCTACACTCACTAACAAGGTGGAAATTTTAATACAACGACATATAAGAAAATATTGAAAGGGTATTTAAAGATCTGAATCTTCAAAATACACAGATTCAGACGGTTTTAAAGGTATGTCCCATGAGTCTTCAGTATACAGACCTTTCCTGTGCTATTTTAAACACTCTATAGCTAGAGTAAGCTGGAGGGCCTCTGGATTTGTCTACTAAGACCAGGAAAACCCTGAGCTCAAAGTCAGGGGCAGGGTGGTGGGGGGTACAGACTGTACTCATTTAAACATGTAAAGTCACAGACTGTAAGTGAAATTGTGGGAACCAGTGTGGAGGTTGCTCAAACATTCGAGCCAGAGCCACGGTGCGCCCCAGCACTCCTGTGTGGGCAGACGTGCACGGGAAGGGAAGTCAGAAACCCAAGGAGATGTCTGCCCTCCGCTGTCGCTGCAGCACCAGGCTGGGCTGCCCAGGCACGGACTCCCCCTGGGACAGACAGTGGGTAAAGGAGGCGTGGTGTGGAGGTGCAGTGTTCCGCCTCCGAAAAGAAGGAAATCTGGACATGTGAGAGCATGGGAGGTCTGCAGCACGTTTCAATAAGTAGGAGAAGCCAGGGACAACACTGAGCGCTCTCACTTTCCGTGGAATCTAAAAGTGGCAAACTCACAGTGGCAGAATGGCACAGAGCGTGCCAGGGGGTTGGGCTGGAAGGACGGGGGAGGTCCAGGCAGGGTCAGGGGTCCAGCCGCGCAGGGTCTGTATGCTCTGGAGATCTGCTGTACTGTGCAGCAACTGTAGGGGACAACATGGCACCAGACCCCTGTCCTGTGCTGCGAGGAGAGAAGGCCTTAGCTGTCTGCCATATGCAAGAGGTCTCCAAGTAAGGGGTGGGTGTGGGTTAGCTGGGCAGCATTCATTGTTATCCAGTACTGTACACATGCAAGATCAGCACACTGTGTGTCTTACACATATAATTATACATCTTATATGATGTAATATTATATATATATATATATATAATTACACATTTTAATTTTCCAATTACTCCTCAGTGGACCTTGAGCGAAAAGAACAGTGCGTCATTCCCAAGTAGGGCACAGTGTGCACGCTAGAATTGGCTGATTAATGATGCCAGCACAATAGCAGAGAAGCCAGCAGAGCTCTGTGTTCCACTGTGGATTCACACACACATACACACACACACACACACACACACTCTCCAACTTGCTCTACTGAACAGTCTAGGGCACAACACTTGGTCAGCTGGCGCCAGAACATGTGAGAATCAGACCATGCCTGCGTCCGGCCAGTGGGTGCCTGCCTAGCTGGGATGTGGACCCTGGCCAGGGATATGGTAGTGAAATACAGAGGAAGTCCACCTGTGTGTGTCCTGTGTAGGTGACATGGTGCTGCCCTCTAGTGTCCAGCCTTTGCCGTTGTGGCCTGGCCCTTGCACTTGCCCAGCCAGTACCAGCTGTTTGCTATGTCCTCCCTCACTCAGATGCCCAGCCAGTGATGACCACATCATCTCTGCAGGACCTGCCTGTTGGCCCTCAACCAAATCCCAAGGCAGAAGCCTGTTCCCACAGAGGGGATCCAGGTATGTCAGTGATCTGAGCCCTCAAAGGGCTGTGAGTCAACAGAAGGGCACAGAAGGACACTTTGAATGGTGACCAGCAGGCCAGAGGCCAAGAGACAGAAGCTGCAGAGGAGCAGAATGGCAGGTGAGAAGTAGGAGGCAGTGAAGGCAGGTGGCCATTCAGTTGAGTGGATCCTGAGACAGCACTGCACCCCAGGGATTATCCCAGAAACAGATGAGGCTTCCAAGTCTCTTGTCCTGGCTCCAAGAGCACAGGCACCCAGAACAAGGCCTTCTCAGGAATTTGACTCCTCAGGGAATCAGGTAGAGGCTGGGGTGAAACAGAACTGATCATGGCCATGGGAGGAATCAGGAAGCTTTTGTGGGTTCTCAGGTTTCATGGATTATCTGACTTCCCTCAGTGTTTTTGGCTCTGGAACAATGACCAGCCCTCCATGAATGGGGCTGACTTTGCTTTTGATTTTTTTTCTTTGTTTAAATTCTTTTATTGGTACATTTTAGGTATAAAATACATTTACATTTACATTTATCATTGGGTGCTTGTACCTGTACATGATGTATCTTGGTTCTTATTTGTTTCCCATTACCTGTGCACCTTTCACCCCCTCCACCCTTCCCTATTTACACAGACTTCGTTTCCATTTTTTTTCTTTTCTCATAATTTTTTCTTTCCACTCTTTCCTTTCCCCATCTCCTCCCATCACCCCTACCCCTTTGGACCTTTTCCTATTTCGAAGTGTCAATTATTAGTTATTAATCCTTTTAATCCTTATTTACACTCTCAGTTTCTCACACTAAAGAAACTATTCGGTATTTACACATGTGTGTCCTATTTATTTCACTTAATGGGGCTGACTTTGAAAAGAGGCCACACTAGGCTGGCAGGGCTGAGAAACGAGACAGCAGCTGACATTCTATAGTGACAGAATCATTGACTTTTCCTGAAGGTGATACTGAATTCCTCGATTCCAGAAGGCAGACTAAACTCCTGGTTCACCACTAACAACTATGGAGAGAATGCTTGAAGGGGTTTAAGAAAAATAAATTGGTGTTGTATAAAAACAAGCCATGGATCCAGCAGGACCTTTAATGTGTTATAAAATGGAGAGGTAGCACCCCCAAGACACAAAAGCAAAATAATGTAGTCCTTCATTCAGAAAAATGATGAGCAGTCCTTCTCTAAAGTCCTGGGAAACAAGTGGCTTAAAAATGGGGAAGAACTTTAAAAAGCTCAAGTAACATTATTGGTGTTAGTGGAGAACATATTCCACCCATATCGCAAGGCAAAATCAAGCTACTATGAAAAAGAAACAATCAGAAATAATTTTTGAAAATTAAAGGATTACAAACTAATATGTCAATGTTGGGCCAAATAATAGAGTGGAAATGGCTAAAGATTGGAATATGGTCTTAAAAATAAGATCAAGGCAATCTTGTAGAGAAGAGAGCAAAGCATAAATATGGGGAAAATGAGAGAAGAATTAAGAACTATAAAAACTAGGTCCAGAAGCTCTGATGTCTAGAGTCACAACAAGAAAGGTCAGGAAAGAGGAAATTATTTTTAAAACACTGCAAAGCATTTCCTGAGATGAGTCTTTATTTTGAAAGGTTCAGTGAGTTCCAACCACTGAGTAAAATAACATATGATTCTAAAAACAAATAGATGATATTCTTGAACAAGGATGAAGAAAACCAAACACTTCCAAAAAGTTGAAAAACAGGCACAAATAAATGACAAATAACACTGAACCCTCACCAACAACACAAGGTAACACACACACACACGCACGCACACAAAGAAAATAGAGCTGTCTTCACTGTTTTGAGGAAATGACTCCCATGCTGGACTTTTATACCCAGTCAAACTATCACACAAATATGGTGACTTCAATAATTTTCACACATAGGAAGAACCTTGAAATGTAAAACAACACCACGTTAAAAAAAACTCTCTAACCTTTCACTATGGCAAAATGAAAATGAGAAATATCACAAAGGGAAGCCCTGACTACCTCATGGGGGAATAGAAGAGCTGAAAAGAGAGAGCACTGCTCCACCAGGAGTTGGATCCCCGAACCCCTCCTTCACAAGGCACAGGTGACATGGACCGAGGGGACCTTTAGCCAATCCTTGGTGCCAGTTGCATTTTGTAAGATATGGAAGTTTTTCTTCACATTTATATTTTAAAATGCTTAAAGCAATAAAAATGTAAGAAAAAACACAGGATTGGTAGAATGAGAAGGGTTTGCCTCTAACACTTCGGCTCAGCAGAAGCCTGCCTCACACATTTACCACTTCTCCAGAGCCAAAATGAGAGCAGAGGGGAAAACAGAGTCCTGCACCACACATACAATTTTAATACTCAGCCTAATGAGGGACCTCAGAGGTCAGCTCTGCAAGTCAACAGGAAGGGCGGCTTGTGAAGCTTCTTTTTGGGACAACACAAGGCACGGAGGAGTATAAAAGCCTGAGAGCCTCACAACTCTCACATACACTCACTCACACGCACACATACTCACTCACACCCTCCTCCAGCAAACCCCAACATGGTTGCCTCTACAAGGTCCATCTGTTCCAGTGACCTGAGCTATGACAGCCGGGTCTGCCTGCCTGGCTCCTGCGAGTCTTGCTCTGATTCCTGGCAGGTGGACGACTGCCCAGAGAGCTGCTGCGAAGGCCCCTGCTGCGCCCCCAGCTGCTGCCAGCCCAGCTGCTGCCAGCCCAGCTGTTGTGCCACCAGCTGCTGTGCTCCAGCTCCCTGTCTGACCCTCATCTGCACCCCAGTGAACTGCGAGTCCACCCCATGCTGCCAGTCAGGCTGCACTAGCTCTTGCATACTCATGTGCTGCCAGCAATCTAGCTGCCAGCCGGCTTGCTGCTCCTCCTCCTGCCAGCCGTCCTGCTGTGAGCCTATCTGCTGCAAGCCTGTCTGTTGCAAGCCTGTCTGCTGCACACCTGTCTGCTGCACTCCCATCTGCTCCAGGGCTTCCTCCTCCTGCTGCCAGCAGTCTGGCTGCCAGCTGGCTTGCTGCTCCCGCTCCCTCTGCCAGCCGTCCTGCTGTGTGCCTGTCTCCTGCAAGCCCATCTGCTGCATGCCCTCCTCCTCTGTGTCCCTGCTCTGCCACCCCATGTGCAGACCGGCCTGCTGTGTGCCCGCCTCCTCCTGCTGCACCTCCTCCTGCCAGCCCAGCTGCTGCAAGCCCTCCTCCTCCCTGTCCCTGCTCTGCCGCCCTGCCTGCCCCCGCCCAGCCTCCTGCGGCCTCTCCCTGGGCCAGAAGTCCTGCTGCTGACCAGCTCAGTGTTCTGGCCCTACAGGTGCCTTTGCTCTGAGCAGGACCGTCAGCTCTTGAGAGCCCTGCCCATGCTACGGGCCATCAGAATCATCCCTCTTTCCAGACTGGTGGCCACATGGCTGCTGTTTGAAATGGGTTTGAATGTACCACCCACGCCCTTTTCTGAAGAGAGCTGACTTTTCCACTTTCTCCAGTGGGTGAGCAGCGTGCCCCCAGGACACTTTCTCAGCAAGCTTACTTGAGTCTGATGTAACGAAGGTCAACTGTTAAAATCAATAAAGTGTTTGTGTCAGGAAATATGGGCTAGTGTGCATTTTCTTTGCTTCTCTGATCCTGTGTCCACTCCAAATTTTGACTATGAGTCCACGGCCCTGTAAAAGCCAGATGAGGTGGACATATTCTCAATTTCAATTCCAAGCACTTGACAAAGTCCTGACACAGAAGGATCTGTTCCTACCTCTTCTTTCCTAAGTGGCTGCCTCACGCAGTTAGGGGTGAGCTGGGAGAAGCAGAAAGCCTTGAGGCTGGGTCATGAAAGCACCCCAGTGTCATGGGCCTCCTGGTGGGCAACCAAGATAGCAGAGTGAAAAGACCACCTTATGTTGTGAAGAATTAGAGGGACTCAGTGGAGCCTCAAACACCACTTCTGCTCAGGATTTGAGGAAGCACAGAGCAAATGGACACCTTGTGAACAAACCACTGGGGCAGGGAAAAGACAAGACTGTGGTCTCAGGGTATCACAAGTCCTGCTACAGCCCAGGGGAGCCAGTCAGACCTGGCTGGTAGCATCAGCACGGCACCAGTCCCTGTACCATGAGATGACCAGATGGGGTTTCAGAGCCAGAGGAGAGTGGAGCTGTATGATAGGACCAGGGACAGAGTCCCTTCCTCAGAACTGAGGTCTACAGGCCCCATCCCGCCTTGTGGAGTACAAACCAAGGAAGAGAGGGCGGCAGGACCTGAAATGTCCTCTGCAGGCGACTGTTATATTGATTATGCTCAAAGCAGGCTGTGAAGAGTTAACCCATAATTGGCCTGTTTTGATAAGCGAGTCTGGCTGAAGCCTCCATGCCGAGGTCAGAGTAACTCACACCCAAATTCTGTTCCCACAACTAAAACCTTCTGACTAAAAGGATAATGTTCTAATTACAACCATATATTTTGTCTCTTCTGTTCCTTCAAGAATTCTTTGTCTTGTCCTTTATGAACCTTGTTTACATTAATTTTCATAGAAACTGCATGTAGCTTGCCTTTACTCCAGTTGATTGCCAATAAAAGTCAGTGCCTGGGACTGGCCAGGGGCTTTGTCGGTTGCACCAGCATTGGTCATCCTGGCCCCCCACTCTCTCTCTCCTAGTTCTGTCTCTTAGTGTATTTATTTCTCAGGCCTGCACTGTATACTGGGAAGGGTACTGGAACCTAACTGCAGGGTCTTCAGTAGATCTCCAAACAGATAGTGGCTGAAATCAGAGAAGATGGCTGCCCACGGGGTGACAGCAAGAATGAGTGGCTTTGAATTGGCACTGGAGAAAAGTAGGAACCCTGAGGTGGGAGCAAAAGATAAAAGTCCAATATGGGAGGATAAATGAAAAGAGTACCTAGGTTGTGTGTGAGGGGAAACCAGACCTCTTCTGGATCATAGTGCCCACCGCCACCCTGGACCTGGGGTACACACCGTCTTGGGAAGGATGGTTGTCTTAGTCACTTCCCTCATCACTAGGACATAATACCTGGCACCTGCAACTTAAAGGAGTAGAGGTTTATTTTGGCTCATAGTTTGTGGAGGTTTCATTGCATAGTCAGCTGGCTCCAAGGCAGGCAGCATGGGAGAGGGAAAAATAAAGGAATCAACAGCAGAAAAAGAACACAATGACAGGAATAAGTCAGTATCTTTTGGTAATAACACTTTATGTAAATGGCCTCAATTTCCTAATTAAAAGATGTAGATTGGCAGACTGGATTGAGAAAAAAAAAAAAAACAAGGGCTGGGGATTTAGCTCAGTGGTTTCACTGCCTGCTGTGCAAGCACCAGGACCTGAGTTCGATCCCCGGTACCAAAAAAAAAACAAACCAAAAAACAAAACTCAATAGTCTGTAGCACTCAAGAGGATCATCTAATGAATAAAGAAATTCAGAGACTTGGGGCTGGGGATTTAGCTCAGTGGTTTCGTCACGTGCTGCACAAGCTCAAGGACCTGAGTTCGATCCCTGGTACCAAAAAAAAAAAGGAAGAAAGAAATTCAGAGACTAAAATTCAAAGGATGGAAAAAAATCACCAAGACACTGAAAGCAAGCAGAGGTAGCAATTTTATTCTCAGACTAAGAAAACTTCAAGTTAAACTGATCAGAAGAGGCAAAGAAGGTCACTGCATATTAGTTAAAAGTACAATTCAACAGGAAGAGATAACAATTAAAAATATACATGCACCAGGTATTGTTGTACCAACGTCATAAAGACATATTGGATATAAAAGATCAAGTAAACACTGATGCAATCAGCACTGGTGATCGCAATACCCCACTTTCACAAACAGACAGGTCAACTAAGCAAAATGTTAACAAAGAAATATCAGAAATGAACCATACCTTCAGACAAATGGACTTAATAGATATCTACAGAGTGTTCTACCCTATTACAAGAGAATACACATTCTTCTCAACAGAAAGTAGAACTTTCTCCAAAACAGGCCACTTATTAATTCATAAAACCTGTTTATATAAATACAAAAGAATTGAAATCATCCCATGTATATTATCAGATCATAGCAAAATGAAACTAAGAATCAATTACAAAAGAAACCACAGAAATTATACAAACACCTGAACATTAAATAACACACTCCTGAACACTCAATAAATCACAGAAGAAATCAAGGAGAAATTAAACAATTCCTAGAATCAAACAATGATCCCAGGGCAATACACCAGAACCTATGAGACATAATAAAAGCAGTCCTAAGAAGGAAGTTTATTGCTATGAATGCTCACATTAGAGAAACAGCAGGCTCAAATAAATAACTTAATGATACAACTCAAGATACTAGGAAAACAAGACCAGTTCAAACCCAAACATAGCACAAGGAAAGAAATTATAAAAATCAGAGGAGAAGTTAAAAAACTGAGGCCAAAACACAAGTATAATCAATGAATTAAAGAGCTATTTTGTTTCTTTGAAAAAAGAAACAAAATAGACAAACCCTTACCCAAACTTACCAAAAGAAGGAAGGAAAAGACTCATTCTGATGCAATAAGAAACAAAAAAGAGGAAATCACAACAGATGTCTCTGAAATCCAGAAGATCATTAGTAACTGCTGTGAAAAATAGTTCTCCAACAAATTGGAGAATCTTGAAGAAATGGACAGATTTCTAGATGCATATGAATTACCAAAACTGAATAAAAAACCATAAAAACTCTGAACAATTCAATAACAAGCAATGAAAGAGACAATGACAATAATAAACTACCAACTAAGAAAATCTCAAGACCTGATGGATTCACCACTGATTTCTATCAGATCTTCAGGAAGGACATAAAGCCAATACCCCTCAAATACTTTAATGAAAATTAAAGGGAAGGAACACTTCCAAACTACTTCCTGGAAGCTAGTATTAGCCTGATTCCAAAAGCAGACAAAGAACCAACTAAAAAGAGGATGCCAATCCATTCAATGAACATAGACACAAAAATCCTCAAAAAGATATTGGCAAGCAGAATGCAACACATGATCAAGAAGACCATACTTCACGACCAAGTAGGCTTTATCCTAGGGATCAACATATTTAAATCAATAAATGTAATACATTACATAAACAGAAGCAAGAACAAAAATCACATGATCATCTCAATAGATGCGGAAAAAGGCTTTGACAGAAATCCAACATCCTTTCATGGCAAAAGCACTGAAGAAAATATGTATATAAGGATCTTATCTCAAGCTGATAAAGCCATTTATGACAAAGCTACTGACAAAATTATATTACATGGGAAAGCTGAAAGATTTTCCTTTAAAATCAGGAACAAGACAAGGATGTCCACAATCACCACTCCCATCCAATGTTTCTTGAAATATTAGCCAAAACAATCAGGCAAGAGAAAGAAATAAAAAGGATACATACAGGAAAAGAAGAAGTGAACTTATTATTTGCACATGACATGATCTTTTACATAAAAGGCCAAAAAAGGGCTCCTAGAATTAACAACCAAATTCAGCAATGAACCAGGATACAAAAATCAACACACAAAAATCAGTAGCATTCCTGTATAGCAATAATGAACCCACAGAGAAAGAAATTAGGAAAGCAATAACCTTCACAATAGCACCAAGAAAAATTAAATACCTGGGAATTAACCTAAGCAAGGGAGAGAAAGACCTCTACACTGAAAACTACAGTACTCTGAAAAAGGAGACTGAGGAGGTCATCAGAAAATAGAAAGACATCCACGGTCCTGGATGGGCAGAACCAAGACTGTCAAAATGGCCCTACTTCTAAAACTGATACAGATTTAATGCAACCCCAATTAAAACACCAACAACATTCCTCACAGAACTAGAGAAAACAATTCTAAAATTCATATGGAACCAGAAGAGATCCAGAATAGCAAAAGCAACCCTGGGCAACAAGAGCAAAGCAGGAGGCATCATAATCTTAGATTCCAAGTTATATTACAAAGGTATAGGGATAAAAACAGCATGGCACTGGCACAAAATCAGATGTCAGTGGAATCAGTGGAACAGAATAGAGAATGGAGAAACAACCCCAGACACATTCAGTCACCTGATCTTTGTTTTTGGGGGGGTTTTTTTGGTACCGGGGATCAAACTCGGGTCCTTGAGCTTGCACAGCAGGCGGCAAAACCACTGAGCTAAATCCTAGGCCCTGGTCACCTGATCTTTGACAAAGGGGCCAAAAACATACACGGGAGGAAAGACAGCTTCTTTATCAAATGGTGCTGGGAAAACCGGCCATCCACATGCAGAAGATTGAAGCTAGAACC